CCTCCTCCTCCTCCTCTCTCTCTCTCTCTCTCTCTCTCTCTCTCTCTCTCTCTTCTTCTCTCTCTCTCTCTCTCTCTCTCTCTCTCTCTCTCTCTCTCTCTTTGTTCGCCGCCGCTCTCTGGACCACCGTGCGTGCAGTTTCCGCGTTTTGTATCGCGCAGCCCCGGCACGGAAAATGCGGGATACCCGCCGACGTGTATACGTGTGCGCGTGTATTTTCGGCGGTGAACAGATCGATCGGCTCCGGCCGGCCCTTGTTTCCCGCTGTCGTCGGTCGCGCGCGCCCATGTGACTACCCGCGACGCCGATCCGACGTACATACGTCAGCGTCATTGCGCGCGTAAACCAAACCATTTCTCGGCCGGAATAATAGCCGTCGGATTCGCTCGTTCGGATCCGTTCGTTTCAATTGCCGCTTTACCCACCCTCGTTCCTTCTCTCTTGCGCATCTTCGGCGCATTTCGGATCTACCACGATTTCGATTTCAAAGAAGAACGGTTTGTGATCTGCGAAATCTGTGAGCGTAAAACGATGGATCGAACGACATTTATTTCCGACTCCTTTCGCTCTTTATCCGTTTTACGTGAGAGAAGCTTATTTGGATGGTTTTTTTTTTTTAATTTTTTTATTTAATTAGAGTTAAGATTTTATCGTGACGGAAACTGTGATAAAAACGTTAGTTACAATATAGTCTCGAGTCAGATGTAAAAATAAAAGGAAGCACAGACGTGTCACAAGGCTGCTAACGAATCGCATATTACCCCTCAGAAGTGTAGAATCGTATGCTTGACTTCCACAGTTTATTTCCATTATATTGCTTCGAGAAGACAATATGGTTTATTGCGTTGGCGCGTTTTAAAAGACCATAAATGGCGACCCGATACTTCGTCTTTCTTTCTCGTCGCTTCTCCCACTTATCTTAACCTTTCGACTTCAACGGATTCTTGTAATCTATATATGGTTTATAAGTTATTAGCTCACCTATTTTATCAGTTATAATAAGACACGTTTCTATTACGTTTTATCCTCCAATAACGAGAAGGTAAAAATGCTATGCAAAAATTATTTAAAAATCGTAATCAGGATATTTATTACTTATAAAAATCTGAAATTCTCAGAATTTTTAGGGAATTTTATTGAAAATTGAAAAATTAGAGAATTCTTTTGAAATTGTTTTTTCTAATATTTTGTCTTTATATTATAATTGATAGTTTACTCTGAATTAATGATAACAGTGGACCCATCCATTCTAAATATCAGAGCACACTAACTTTAAAACTAATTCAATATTCGATATTGAAGACAACAATTTCGTGTTAGGTGTAATTTTGTTTAATGAAGATGGATATTTATTTTAATATAAAAGTTAATAAGTTTGTAAAATGCTTTGAATTTTATATGATTTTATATGATTGTGTGTATATTATATAATTTCTCGTTTACAGCTTTTGAAAATAAAGTTTGAAAATTTTTTTACAATATGAAACATTATTTTTTAGAGTTTCTATAGTTTCTTCTAAAAAAAACTTTTCAAATTATTAAAACTTGAGAGAGTTAACTTAATTTTATTTTACGGTCTATAAACTTTTATGAATGGAAGATATTAATGACTTTGCACAATAGATATATATTTATTTGACACATTTAAAAATATTTTTATTTTATCTGGAATTTTTAATAATTGCAGTCGGAATTTTTAAAGAATTTTTTTCGGATTTAAATAGACACTCTGATAATTGATTTGTTTTTGTCGCCGCGATGAAACGAATTAAATTAAATATGAGAATTGTCTCTCTTTCTCTACGTACCGCCGTATTTCGTGTTCGTTTTCTTCGAAACTATCGTGAATTTATCATATCGAAATTTTTGTACGAAATCGGGGGAGGGAAGAAGGATCGAATCACTCGGGAATTTTGATGTGCTGCAAGATGACCGATGTATTAGTTATTGCCCTAACTTTTCTTCAGCCTTAGCGTGAGAAGAATACGCCTTCAAGTTTTGGCAGCAGCTTTCTAAGCTGCCGTGTGTTACGAGAGAATTACGCGGGAGGTCTGTTTTTTATTGATAGCGCGACGATCAAACATGGACGTGCGCGAGCGATGTAATGGAAAGGGTAGTAGGACGTTTGGGGGGAAGGCCCGTCGAGAATTTCCAAATGCAGCAGCATACCGACGGGAAATCCGCCGTATTTATAACGGCCGCACGTGCTCCTCTCTCGCTCTCTCCTTTGACTAGCGGCGATGAATAACTGATGCCATATCCAATCAGTAAATGGAATCCACCGCCGTGGCCGGAGAACTCTCCGTTCCGTTAACAAGAATTTAAGAAGCGAATTTCAGGCCAAATCTCGCTCCGAATGTTCCACGGAATGTACACGGATGTAATCGCGAGATCGCGATACGAGATATATCAAGGCGATCTTGATGCGGAGCGACGGTGATTGATCTTCCGTTTCGATCAAGGATTAATCACGGTTAATTGATCCATTTTCCAGAGCGCGGTCGCGACGTTGCGTTATCTTCGATCGAAACCATTGTATGAGTGACCTGCCCCATATAAACTAATTAGAATTTCATTTATTTATTTTATTGAAAACATTTTTGTCCGAAAGCGTGTAAGAATATAATTACGAAACTTGCACACGTACTTGACTGTATACGCGGTTGACTCGCGTTAGTCGACGAATTAGGTCTTTAATATTTAACGTAAACTCCGACACGTTCATTTAATATGAATAACGCGTTCATGTGGGTTTACTAGCTCAGGGACAAATATCTCTCTGTAGTTGAAATTTATGCATAAAAGGTAAACGATATCAAATAAAAATTTTTCAGTATTTTGATAACTTGCATTTATATTCATACATCGAAATCTGCTTCGGTATTCAATTACTTTCTTAAAAAAAAAAAAAAAAAAAATTAGAACGCAATTAATTTACCAAACACAATATGTGAAATTAATTGTTTTTATTTTAATAAAATAATGTCTCATTGAATTTCCGAAATTCTGTTAATTTTTATCGATCATTAACATCAGTAAATGAGACTTTTTAGTTTGAAAGCACTTAAAATTTAAAATTCTCCGACTGTTTATCAGTTTGTTCGCGACGGTTGAGAACGAGAAAAGCTTTCGGTCCAAGGTTGGGAAATCTCGCGTGTTGTATAATAGCCACGCGATTCAGTGAGATGAACGCGAAGCAGCAGGGCCGTAGGATCGAGCACCTGCTCTCTCTCGATGCTATTTCCGTACGTGCGTCGATTGAGCGGGCTGGCAAGACGAATCAACGCCAAGAATTCTACGAATGATCGAACGCAAACCACATCCTCGCGAGGAAGCTTTGAACTCGCGTGTTTATGGTTTCGCGACCGATCGTTATTGGTTCTACGTAAAATTCCATCGTGAACGGCCGATCCGGGGAATGAGATTTCGTGAAATTTCAGAATTCTCGAAAGGAACACATCAGAATTCATCGGGTCTTGGTACAAACGTAAGAGTTGTGTGTTCGTTTCTCCTGAATTCTTTCCAAGAAAATATCTCTCCATCTTGAAAGTTTCTCTGGCAAACATACATTGAATATTTATATTATTTTATAATAATATAATGTTGAGGTTATTATGATTTGAAATTTAGAATATTATGAATTAGTGATGTGAAACGACGAATTCTTCAGAGAGTATTTTCGTATTTTTTCTAGAATTTTTCATGTACTTCCATCATTTGTCAGTTTTGATATTGATTTGTGTATTTACAATAATAGAATTCTCTTTTTTCATAAACAAAAAATTGAAAATCGTTAGATGATATTTAGAAAGATGTGTGATTGATCAGCTCTCCGGTTGCTGTTTTTTCCGGTTTTCGATCGGAGATCCAATGCTTTTTAGATAAATCTCTGAACAGATGAAAAAATCTTCGGTTAACTATTCAAATTCTGACCTTTTGTGAAAAAAGACATACATATGTGTACAATATTTTCTCTAGCTGTATTAACAGAAATCTCAGACAGAAGAGCTTATTTTTTTAGGAGAGTTAATTTTTCAGGAGAGTAATATGATAAAAAAGAGTTTGAAATATACCTGAAAAAAATATATTAGAAAAGAAATTGATCTCTGGCAAACCAATACTCTAGAGATGACAACCGCGGTTCTTTTAAACATTCTTTTCCATTCTTGTACAACATATAACGCTCTTAATTTCAGTTTTTAAATTATTTTGTTTAATTGTCGTATTCTCTCACGAGTGAAAATATGCGCATTTGTTAACACTATTATTATTTCTTCTTATTCTGCTTATAATTGTTAATTTACGCAACAACAAATATTTGTAAACCATCTAATTTAGGAAGAGGTCGTACAACGGCGAGGTGAAATGTTAAAAAGAAACAACATAGACGTAAACATTTTTAAAGTACAGATTTATGTCTGAAATGCTTATTGCTGTTTTAAGCAGATTGTATTTTGAAAAAAATTGGCATATCATTCGATGCGACATTTATCTTCTGATCATGCTTCGATATTCCATAGTCCAATCTCCCAAACTGGAATGACTGTTATTACGTCATAAATCACTTCGCAGCGTATATTCCCTGGAAAGAATATTCTTTATTTGTGGACCACACAGACGTTATTAGTAAATGCGTTCGCTTTCTAGTACCGCAGGCTTAAGCCAGGATTGACTCATCGCGGACGCAGGACTTTAAGGAAGGCTTTAAGGAAGCATCAACGAAGTCTGGGCAGAACAGGGGCTCGCACTGTGTCCAACTGATTACTATCGACACGGCTGTTATCGACACGAGAAAACGGTTGACAGAGTTTACCGAGTAACCGACGGCATATGAGTCTTGCAGGATGTCTCACACGGCTCGTTGTGCTCACGAATATGACTCACCCGATTCGTGAAGGAACGGAAATCTTGTATTTATCCGAGAAAGACGTTTGTCCTTTGTTGGCGCGCTTATCTATGCCCGCGATTGCCCCAAACAATTCTCGTTCTTCTGACGTAACGCACGACTGTAGATTGCGCGACACGCGTGTCCCAATAATCGAGTCAAATATGCCAGCAGATAAATATACGCAATGATCATACATGAAAATCCTCACGAATAAAAGTTGTGAAAGATATCCTTAAGTTTTACGAAGACATAAGGATATATTATATGAAACATTTTTTGTTAATCCGATTATAATATTAATACGCGGCCATTTTTATGTATACATCTCCAAATAAAAGACGAGATTATTCGATCATTGCAGATGCATTATAAAAATATAAATATGTAGAATATCGAATAAAATGTTATCGAATAAAATATAAATATATCCCTTGGGTAAAGTACAATTTTTTATTTATCAAGTATTTGTCAAGTATTTCTGAAATGAAAGAATAATCAATCGCTTGGATTTTTTTCAGATCATCTCAAAAAACATGCATTCCAGGACGAAATTCCATCTTTTGATAGCCATTCTCCATGTTCGAAGCAATGCGTGCCCAAAGCCCCTTATCATTCTCCTGTCCGGTGTAGAGTTGTTAGACGACTGGACGGAGAACTGATAAGGGCCCGAGGGTCACAGAATCATCGTGGGATACATTACAAACTATGCGTCCGTTAAATGCCGAAAACATGTGGAAGAAAAAAATCTGTTTATCTGCATCTGTTTATTCTGCAATTTGAATTTATTATGATATTTAATAAGCTCTTATCAATCATTGATTAACCACTTAATTTTATCAATAAATTTAATAAATAAGTAAATATTGTAGTAAATAGAATTTATTTAATTAATGTAAAAGAATGAAAAGAATGAAATTGATGTTAACGTATAAAAATTTGTTAAATCAAAATTTATTTTTATATTAATGAAATAATCTATATTTATATAAATATTTTCTTGATAAGAGATTTAGAGGAATTTATGGAACTTCTATTGATATAAAATGAATAAAATGAATTATAGTCATCAATAAAAATCTGTTTTATTGTAAATATAATAAATAATATAAAAAAATTGTATTCCCTATATTTTACTTCATATTCCTCTACGTTACGATATAATATATCTATGTCCTGTTTTACATTAAATGATATTCATAACAGCTGAAATATGATAAAAAGAAATATTATCGAATCGATTTATCACGAAAAATAAAAAATAGAACGCGTTAATTAAGTAAATTTTCGTAAACGTGTCATAGACACACAACTTGTTTTGCTCGCAGTAACAATACTGCACGTCTCATAGAATCGATTCATTCAACTATTCGCTGATCATGCTAACCGCAAGAACTTTGACATTACAAAACATGCAAACGTCTCGAGGACGATTAATTACGTTCCTGTGCTCTTAGATGCCGCATGTTCCACCTCGTAATTCGGATTTATCTGAATAATTTGCCTGGGTGTGGTTTCGCACAACTTTCTCGGTTGATTTTGTACAATCAGTATCTGTTTCGTTCCCTCTGACTTTTCCGATATAAATTGATTAACACCTACGATTTTCAATGCCGGTAAAGTCTTTATAATCGTCGCGTTTGGAATCGCGAGATTCGTGGTATTACAATCCACCTTCGGGAGTATCACTGGATTCTTCGTGATCGACAGAACCGATTTCTTCGTCGATACATTGGACGTCTCCATGTAGGAGGCTAATCGTTTTACAGGACCATTGGCTGATATCGGTACCGTAAGTACTTCCGGATTATCTTCTGATATTATCTTAGGTCCAAGAATTATTCCTGCAAAATTCAAAAGATTGACTTGTAACGTAATGCCTAAAGAACTAAGTTGAACTAAATTTTATTTCTATCAAAACTATAAGATACTAAAAAGATGATAATAAATTATTAAACTTATTTAATCAGATATGTAAGTAACAAAGGAGATTTTCTTTAAACAATAAAGAATTCGAGAATATGAAATTAAAATTGACAAAGCTAATCGCGCAAGCAATATATATTTTCAAATTTAATAACTTGCCTTTCTGCATCGCTTTCGTGACTGGACAATCTCTGTGGGCCAATAAAAGAGTCTTCAATTTTGCAACTTCCTTGCGCAAAGCTTTCACTTCCATCTGCAAGGCTGTATTCGTGTCGTTCACGTTGGTTACCGTTCTTTGGAGTTCTTGAATCCACGCTTTTCTTTTGGCCCGTGCACGCATGGAACTGGCACGATTACGCTCGAGAATGTCTTTCTTCTTAATCTGATCAATTGTTTTCTTGCCACTTTCCTTCTTTACAGCATCAGCCACGTCTGTTTTCACATATCCTTCGGTCGCTTTCTGATTCTGCGCACTCTTCGACAAGGACTGCTTCAATTTCTGTAACGCGGTATCTAAAGTTGGGTTCATATTATCGAATTGGACCTCGAGCTGAGCATGCTGTCAAATCAAACCTCGAGCCGCGAGCGTATTGATGTCATGTGGCACGGCTTATCGTATTCCATCTGAAAACGGTATTTCGTCATATCACAGGATATTATACGAGAAGATAACAACGCTTCATTGCGTTGAGAGTTTAGCATCAAAGTAGAGGAAATTGCCCAGTCAATATGTGATGCGATCCGCATGCTTAGGCATTGTTATTTTACATTAAGATAATTCATTTCTGAGAGACAAAGTGAAAGTCCGATGAAAAATATTTATAATTAATTAACGCTTATGAAGATTAAATGAAGATTAAATGAATTATGATCATTATATTGCGTCCATCTTGGAAATAAAAAAACCTATCGCCTCTCATCTTCTTTCTTTGTAACTTAATTTATATAAATGGATGCTACAGCAGCTAATTTTAATTTATCGTTATTTATACAACGCACGCAATTCAACTGCGTAAACTACACAATATAGATCACAAAAATATTTACAATGCTCGTAAAGTTCGATAGAATTTTAAATCTCGTATCTGTGAAAGAGCTCGTATTTAAGTTCGGCTCGAGGTTCAATTCGAGAATATGGACTCGGCTTTTTAGAGATTTACTTTGAAATGCGAATTATCAACATAAGATATTACCATTTTTGCTAATGATAATTTTGAGATCACAGTCTTCTTGGGCTCCAATTTCACTGCACACCGCAGAGCCGGTTCGGTTCTGATAACAACGGTTTGCTGTTCGGTATTAACATTCGATACATTAGAAGGCTCAGACACCGGTGTTGCGCACAGCTGCATTAATTTACCATCTGCAGTTTTTAATAACAATTGCACTTCTTCGCCGTTGATGGACCTTCGCAAAAAAAAATATTCTAAGTATGTTTGTCGAATGTCTTTTTAAGCGTGTTGATTGGCTGCAGGATAGAGCAATGCTTCAGTAGAAACTTTCTATCCTGCCAATCCATCATAAGACAAATATCATCCTAGAACTTCAAATATTTTACGATAAGGGAAGAAGATATTTATTAATTATTTTGCACAAGATATAATCTGATAACAAAAAACTTGATTGTTGTTTAAGAAGAATGATTAGAATTAAAGAATTAGAAATGTGAATTATATGTTTACGAATGTAATAATAAAGGAGAAATGCATGTTGAAATACTAAATATTATAATTATTATAGTTGAATTAAAAAATGCATTATGTATCTCTTGAAAAATCAAAATTTAATAATTAAGTAGCTATTTATATACAAAAGTGGCGCGTATATAGATAATAGATGTTGCAACAAAAATAATTCTAATCACGCAATTACATAAATCATAAGTATCGCTTGTGATAAGATTGACAATTAGTTAAAAACTAGTTTTGAGGGCATAAAGTCGCAATGATAGAATAGAACAATGGATTCTAAAAATTTTTAGAATTTACATGAATATCTTTCAATATGCCATATATTTTTGACGACCGCAACAACATATTTTGTATATTTTTTTTATTGATATTGATTTATTTTGATGATGATCCAAAAACGTCAACAATAACAAAATGTTAAAATCGATTATTTTGAAAATACACATTTCAACTGACAAGGGACATAAAAAGTAATGCGCTCTTAATGCGGTTTGAATTTCGAACAATCAGGAAGTATCAAATATCAAAGTAATGCAAATAAGATAAAATATATCGAGTTAAAAGTAAGAAAGATTTTCACGATGAAACGCATATGGTAATCTTACAATTTTAAGAGAGGCATACTTACAGATGAGACGTAGGTTGCGTCGAAAGTTTAGGCCCTATGTTTGCATTCGTATTTGAGACAATAATATCTGTTGAAAGAGTATCATCTTTAGCAGATACAACGTTCGAATCTTTCATCAATTCTTGCGTCTGGTTTGTACTTAATTTAATACTGTTACATTCATCGGTCTTTATAACATTTTCCTCCTCTGCAGTTTTTTCAGCAAGAGATACAGTCGAAGGACAGTCCTTCAACGTTGTCTTCGGAAAGAATTTGACTATTTGCAGGCAGTACGTCTGATATATAGGGAAAGATGTGAGGAGTATGCAATGTATCATCCGTAATTCCAGCCTGCAAG